ATAGGAAAGTAAAAACTGTAACAAAAACGTTAAAATATAATACGTTAGAATTTAGAATATACTTACTAATTATTTGATAAAATAAAATATGATAGTTCTATTGAATTTTCATTATAATAAAAAAAATTGAAATTCTAAAAAATTTTAATAATAATAAATATAATATTAAAACTCTATAATATTAAAATATAAAAATTTGAAATTTAAAAATTAAAAATATAATAGTTTACTTATTTTGATTCATTGATACTGAATGTATATCAAAAACGAAGATTTAAAAAAAGAAAAAATAAAAGACTATTAACGAATTCATTATAGTTAATGAATAAACACTGATTATAACTTTGTGAAAGATTATTGTAATTAAATAAAATTATTCTTGTAAATAATATAGAAAAAATTTTTACGAAATATTGATTCTAATGACATGTTATTGTGCGCAATTTCAAAATATCAATTTATCGCTTCTCCATGACGCCATATTGGCACTTTTCCCTCTCTGAAATTAGATTAATAATCAGTTAATGACTATATAAAAAAAAAAAGAAAAAAAATATAAAAATAAACATTTAAAATATAGAACTAATTAAGTATTATATTGAAATAAAACATTGGTATGATAACCTAAAAAATCAAAATATAAACTATTTGTAAATTTTAAAGAGATAAAAAAAAAAGAATAAATTAAAAAGAATTTTCAATCATATTAATAAATATGTATTAATAATATTAAAAAGCTATGAAATAGTGATAAATGAATAATAAAGAAAATGTATGGAAATAAATATTGCGCAACAAGTAGATTATATTGCTCAAGAAAAAAATAATACATCTAAATATTATTGATAATACAACAATATTTTGCGCTGAATTTTGATTTGTGAATTTTAAATTAAAGAATGAATTTGTTCGATAGTTTGTCAACAAGTTGAAATAGTTTATGTAGAACATAAACAAATGAAAACTTTTTATATAATAAATATTTATTTAGCTTCAATCACAACATAAACGAACATAAGAAGAAATAAATATACTATATAAATACTATGAATATATACATTTAGAAAAAGAATACGTATTTAAAATAATTTAATTTGATGAAACAAATTTAATTATATTAAACTAATTATAGTTTCAAATCTATAGAAATCTATTTTAAATCTATTATTGAATGAGAAAAAATATAAATTTACCCGATATATAACAAATTCAAGGACAATATTCACATAAATTATTATGAAATATATAGACTTTGAATCTTTATAATAAATAATCAATAAATTGGACAAATAAAAATCAATATAATATATAAAATATAGCATCAAAAATATATTAAAATAAAGTAATAATTAAACTGAAATCATAATTGATAAGTTTATATTACAATACAAACTACCGGTAACCTCAATACTTAAATATATATTCGATCGAAGATAAAAGAACAAAAAAATTTAAAAGACCAATTAATTTTATTATTATAATATTCAATGATTTCGTAAGTAAAACTTAATGTTAATCTATAAATTCTGTAATAAAAGAATTACTTACTGTGTAAATCAGATCATGCAATTAGTATTGATGCAGTGATATGTTTATTATGATGATTTTCAACAGAATGCTATATGCAACAGATTTGCTTAAAAACTTTCTGATTGGTCAAAACAGGGCGTTCTTTATTTATTTAAATCTCGCGAAAATTGAAATATTGTATAATACATATATCAATTATGAATTTCTATGATATTGAAATACAAAGATTAATTAAAAAATTTATTAAAAAATATAATAAAATTTAATTATTTAAATTAATTTAATATAAGAATTAACAAAGTAAGAAAAAATGAAACACAAAAATAAAGAAATTTAAAATAAAAAAATTTACAAAATCTGAAAAAATTTTGATATAAAAAAAAAACAATATAAAATATAAAAAAATTAATTAAGAGAAAATTAAAATAAAAATTCTCGTAAACTAATATAAAATATTGCAACATGATTATAAGTAAAAAATTAATATAAATAAAAATATAACTCTAACATAATTTAATTTTAAATTAATTAAATTATATTTATTATTTTAAAAAATTATTAAATATATAAATTAATAATAAAAATCTAAAAATTAAAATATTCATCTATAATATATTTGAAAAATATTGAAAATTATATTAAAAAATTCGACATCATTGATAAATATCATATATTTTTATTAAATTTTAGTGAAATAATCTTTTATTAAAAATAGTTAAAAGAATTTTCGTGACAAATAAGTTAAAACTATAACATTTTAATTAATTTCAATACACAATAATTTTTTAATTTATTCTTATAATTCGTTATAAATTTATTATACAATATTTCAATTTTCGCGCGGCTTAAGTAAATATCGGAATTACGCCAACCAATCGAAAAGTCTATGGGCAAATTTAGTGCATAGTATCAGTTTTCTATCGAAAACCATCATTGGTTTGAGTTATATGATTTTACTTAGGCAGTAAATAATTTCGTTCTTATTTTTTGTTATAGAAATTATAGATTATTAGTTTTGTTTATTTATTAAATATTGTGATTAAAAAATTAATTAGTCCTTTATATTTCTTCATATTCTTTCTTTCAAACATCTATTTGATTGTTGAGGTTATTGGTACCTTGTATTATTATAAATCTTTCAATAAAAATTTTCAATTATTTTTTCTATTTCAACGTGATTTTATTTATATTTATTTATTTTATTTTTTGACTTTTATTTATGTAGATTATTGTGCATTCGATTCGATAGAATCAAGATGATTTTGAAGGAATAATGATTAATGGCATATATAATGGACAGTTGATGTCTTTCGTTTACTTCAGGTAATATTTTATTTCTTTTCATAAATAGGCGTATTTAGAATAAATTTCTTGTTATTTACATTAAAAAAAATTTACAATATAATTAATTTATATTGTATACAATAATAATTTATTATAATTTTATTAAATTAAATTATTTTTCTGATATAGTAATTTATGAAGTAATTAATATAATATATATAATATAGTTATATATAATATATATAATATAATTTTTTCTAAATGCGTTTATCTATTATTTATATTTATATTTTTATCTTTTTCTTTCATCTATGTTATATTAAGACTTTTTATATGAGATTTTTTACATATAATATTTTTTTAAAAAAATTGAGAGTTTCCATTCATATTATGTTCATATTATATAATATAATTTGTTAAACTTCCTTTAATAATAAATAATTTAATAATCGAAATCATAGAATAGAGCGTATACTATCGATAATTATGCTTATTTTTTCTTGAATTGTGTAATTTAATTTTTATTAATTTGCCAAGCTCGGATGTCAGAGATGTCATTTTATATTCGGAATATTTTCTCTTTTAGTGTTATAAATGAAAATCATTAATACAAATTAATATGCTTTTTATTTTTTCATTTTTTTAAATATAACTAGAATATATAGCATATTTCATATATTTGATTAATCATAAGCAGATAGAAATGAATAGATTGTTATAATTTTATAAAAATTTTTGTGTAGTAATCTATTTTTAAAAATATAATTTGAAAAATTATACAATAAAATTGGAATGAATGAAGAATGCTTTTCCTATCGATTTTTCGTATTTTACGTATTGCGATTTGAACTCGAATCAAATATATTGTATTTAAAAAATATGTAATTTTAATTAACTAGTTATAATTAAATATTTATAAATCTTCATTCATATTTTTATAATCTAACAATAAATCTAAAAAATTCATATAAATAAAAATTATGAGAATTATATTATTTTGATAATAGTTTAAATTAAATAAGTCATTATTTATTTTTAATAGACAAGTTAAATTAAATTTATAGAAACCTAAAAATCTGGGCAATGATTATTATTTCGTTTTTAATTGTATCATGTATAATTTATATGTATGATATAATTATAAATTATAATGGTAAATAGTATAAGCTAATTAATTATGACTACGAGCTAATTGGTTGTAGTAGTTATATTTTTATATAGGAAGATTATTAAAATGATAAAATCTTTTTTGTTTTGGTTTCTAAAATTATGAATATATATATATATATATATATAAGAAGACTTTAGTTATATTTGTTTTATTTATTTTTAAATAATTTAGGAATTATAATTTAAAATCTTTGAATTGGCAAATAAAAAAAAAATATCTTTTCGGTAATAGATAATCATTTTTCTATAGTTAATAAAAAATTAACAAAAAAATAATTTTATATATATAATATTTAATATTTAATAAAAATTTATAAATATTTTATAATTTTCGCATAATTACTATCATTTATTTGATTTGCAATTTGCATTGTAATGGTAGAAATATAATTTTGCATGCTTACACATTATTCTTCTACTAATAATAGAATTAAATTTAAATAAAATTCAAATATTCAATCATTTTACAATTTCAATATTTAGTTAATAACATTTTTCAATGTTTATTATAATAATATATTATAATACAATTTTTATTATATTATATTAACTTTTAATCGTAATTATTGAATTATATTTGGTGGTAAATATTTAAATTTTAATAAATTAGAAAACGTATGAAATAGTCTGATCTTTTCTGAAGTCGGTATGTCAGAACATGATTTTATGAGATATGTTTATTTTTTTTCTCTTGACAAATAGTAATTACCCAAGAATGATAACTGGGTTATAATTTAGGATGTTGCAGACAATATAAATAATTATTCTTTTCTTATAGTATTAACTAAAGCCCTAAGTAAATACAATAATTACTATAATTATTATTTATAATTAATAAAAATTAACAATATTTATTAATTTTTTATCGATAAATTCTATCATACATATTATGATATGTAAAATGATGTGGAAAATTAATTCCATGTTTTCCTAGATGGTGTTAATTTGCGCATGCGTATAAGAAGAATTTACAAGAGCGACATCTTTCTGTTCAGTAAAATTTTACCGACTCGGTAAAGGCTTCTCATCGTCGCCATTTTGTAATAGTGTTTGAAGATGCTGTTTGTTTCGACATTTTGTGAGAACTGAGAATTAGTTTCACCTTTATTTTGTACCTGAAAAATGACACAGTTTCTGCCACCTAATCTGTTAGCACTTTTTGCTCCGCGGGATCCTATACCTTATTTACCACCCGTTAGCAAGCTTCCACATGAGAAGAAAAATGGAGGCTATATCGGCGTTGGAGGTTTTCTTAAATATTTTGAGGTAATCAGAACTTAAATAAAGTTTTATTGTATATATATTATCGAAATATTTTTTCAAGTATTTTTATTATTAGAATATTAAAGATAATTGTTTAATTATATATTATTGTTAAATAATATATACACAAGAGAACGAAAAAGTAATGTATATTTTTTTTATAGGATCCCAAAGATACACCACCACCAGTACGTGTGGAAACAAGAGAAGAACGTCTTGAACGAAGAAGAAGAGAACGTGCAGAACAAGTGGCATATAAATTAGAACAAGAAATTGCAGTATGGGATCCTGCTGGTATTCCAAATGTAACAGCAGATCCTTTTAAAACTCTTTTTGTAGCTCGAATAGTAAGTTTTTTTGATAAAGATATTAATATTTATATAACTATATTTAGTAAACATTTTAATCTTTTCAATATTTATGTAATATTTTCTTTAGAACTATGATACATCTGAATCCAAACTTAGAAGGGAATTTGAAGTATACGGTCCAGTAAAAAAGGTAGATAAATAAAACGTGCTTTGTTTTGGATTTTTATAATGTGTTAACGAACAGATGAAACATTTAGTTAATATTAATCATTATTTTTTAGATAGTGGTAATTCACAATACAATAAATGGCAAACCTAGGGGATATGCTTTCATTGAGTATGAGCACGAAAGAGATATGCACTGTAAGTAAAGCCCAAGAAATGAGAACCCCTTCTTGAGAACCTCAGTGAGTCCATAGTCTGGAATTTCATCCTTACTTAGCGTCACTTCCAGCTAGTTATAGTGGGGCAGGGCTTTAGTTAGGCTACCCATTTTCATTGGTACTAAACCAGACGGTACGGGGGGTCCCGCCATACATCCATGCAGGATTACCATTCTGTAAATGCATATATGGTAAACGATCAACTGAAAAAAGAAATATTGGCTGTCTTGATTAATGCAGTTTTTATCTTGTTCTTGGTACAGCGTGGTGGCCGCTGCCGGCAACTAGTGCCGTTCACTATTCCATGCAAAATCCCTGAACCTGCCTGATATGATAGGTTTGTATGTGTGGTAAGATCCAACATACAACAACGTTTGTTAGCGTCTATGCTTACCCTATTTATCTTGTCTGATTTTGTTATACTTGCGGTTCGAGTACTACTCCTTTCGGGAGTATTCGATAGACATACTCTTAAAATGTTAGGAGTCAGAACTCTTTCCAGTGCATATTTTGGGCTGAAATTTCTTTTATTTTTAACTACATGGTTTGCAAAAGTTAGCATTCTACATTGAAATTGATTGGTGGGCTTTTAGGAAAAAGGTTCAGGGACACGCTCTGCAAGCAGTTAGATTTTGCGCCTGTACATAAAGGTAGACTATATACAAGTATCATAATCAAACTATCTGTATATATTATATCCTATTTAAATATATTAAATATATTTTAATATGTATACATATATATATATATTTATATATATTTAAATAAATATATATATTTATATAGAAAATATTTAAATTATCTTCGAGCAAAATTTAACCGCATTTTTTCTCAATACAACATTAATAATCATGCATCATTAGATAGTACACTACATATTATCATATCTTGGTTGTAGCACCCACTTTTTTTTTTCTCATAATGGGTATATTATTATAAACATTTGTAGGTCACACTTATTCTCTTAAAAAAATTTGCATATAAAACGTGTACCAAGCGAATATCGGGCACCTTATATGGACTTACGATAAAAGATATTTTCTCGTTAGGTCTAGTACCAAAATGCATGTTCCAAACTAATTGATGATTGTTCTTTCTCATCACATCTTGTTTCGTCGCTGTTTTTTCGTTTTTACTAAAAATTTAAATTAGTTAGTTATATCATCTTATTTGGAAGGTCATTTAAATCATTCTTTTTTTTAATCAATTATTATTTATATTTAAGTCCTTGAACATATCAATTTCGATATAGAATACTAATTTATTCTAAGAATCTGATTTCTCTCGGACTTTCATCTTGAATCACAGTCAGTTCTTTGAAAAATGTACAAAAATAAAAAGAAAAAAAAAAAAAAAAAAAAATTACGGGTATATTCGTAAAAGGTAAATGTTTTTTTCCGTGGAAATAAAGTATCCCCTTTATTGAACGAAAAAAGAAAAAAAAATAAATTCTCGTTTTAACGTTACGTTAAATTTATAATATGTAATTAGAACACAATATAATATAAAGTATAAAGCATACGATACTTGCGCACGGTTTGGTCGTAAGTAAAAAAAAAAAAAGCGCACCAGGTAAATGCAAAGTAAACTTCTTCGGAGATTGAACGAACATATGAAGACTGGGCACCTTCCCAATGAATAGCATACGCGCTGGCCTACTCTATGCTCGCGAGTCTCTTACAAGTTCATTTCACGATTAAACGTACTTCTAAGATTTGTGTTAACTTCCGTACGTAAGTAGCCGCGGTAGGTATTTTTGTATCTGCTATACATTTTTTGAACTTTACAAACTGTAGATTTAAGGTAAACGAAAAATCCGTACATTTTATTACTGATTTTTATGCTCCGCGAATATAACGTAGAATCGTGATTTTATACGGTAAAATGATCATAACGGTACGGTATCCGGACCCTCTTTCTCTTTTAGTAAATACCTATAGTAAACGTAATATCATTATACATTCGGCGCTTTGTACGCTTTATACGCAATCTCATGGTATCTTGAACACAGAAATTGACTAGTTTAATTCAAGGACTTTGCCTCGTGATGGTACGTACTGTCACATTTTACTTTATAAAAGAGCGCACGTTATAATCGGTACGTGTATATAATCAGGAATAATATGTGCCGATACCTTACGACCTCAATCACTTCTGAAAAACGTGTAACGATTATTAGTTTGGATAATTCCGTCAAGACAATAGCAACATATCTAACAGAGATGAAAATAATTTCGGAAGAAAAAAAAAAAAAGAATTAATATAGGTAATGTAGCAAATGTATCGTTTGATACTCGTTATATATTATCTCTTTTGTGTTTTCGGTATATATCGTATTCTCAGATTGTTCTTTGTATTCGTGTCTGTATATTTTTCATTTGTACGAGACCGAAAATTGCCGAAATTTCACGGTTCGCACTGTCAAGTCTAAAGATTGAAGTCTTTTCAAAAAAAAAAAAAAAAAAAAAAATATATATATATATATATATCTTTTCTGCCACCTCAAGATTTATTTCCTCGAGACATAGAAGTCTCATAGTTTTATTAAATAGTGAACATAGTGATCGCGAGCAAATGGTAATTTTCAATCGGTACTTCTAGCTGCTTATAAGCATGCGGATGGTAAGAAAATAGATGGTCGGAGAGTATTGGTTGACGTGGAACGAGCTAGGACGGTGAAAGGATGGTTACCGCGAAGGCTTGGCGGTGGACTTGGTGGTACTCGAAGAGGTGGACCCGATGTTAACATTAAACATTCTGGTCGAGAAGATAACGAAAGAGAACGAGAACGGTATCGTTTGGAACGAGAGAGGGAGAATTCTGGACGCCTTGATAGAGACAGGTATGTTATATTATGATGATAATTCGATAAATGAAAAAAATATAGAAGAAACAGACAATTTTATATATTACAATTTAATATATTTTTAAAGTATTAAATTTAATTTTTTTATTTTTGCTTGCAGAGACCGTGATCGTTTGGACAGGGAGCGTAGAAGATCGCGAGATCGTAAAAGAAGAACAAGAAGTAGGTCGCGTGATCGAAAACGTAGGCGAAGTCGCGATCGTTTACCTGATCCAGACATTGAAGAGATTCAGAGAGACGAACGGCCCCGGGATAGGAGAGATCGTGATCGTGAACGTGATCGTGAACGGGATCGTAAGAGGAGACGTTCTAGAAGTACCGATCGTGATCGTGACAGAGACCGTAAGAGAGACAAGCGTGACCGTGATCGCGAACGTAGAGATCGGAAAGATCGGGGTGATCGTCAAGAGGAAGATACAAAAGAAATCCGAATTAAAGAGGAACCTTTGGATGGTATATTTTTTATAATTCATTCAATTATTTTTTTTATAATTCAATTATAGATTTAATTATAATTGATGAAAATGTTAATTTTCTTGTGAAAATTTTTCAGATTACCCTGATTATAGCAATACTTTCTCAACGTCTGGATCTTACTTTACCGCTGTAAAATACGAAGACGATAATGATCAAGAAGTAGAAGAGAAGTATAGAATTCCAGAAGGTCGTCCAGATCCCCCTCCCTATAATAATTATGACTCCGTACAAGATTATTGATCTCGATAAAATATCTCTTGTATTGTTCTTTTTCGTTACCACACACGTCACGATGAATTAATGCAATTGCCAATAATGTATTGTATTTCCTATTGTTATTAGTGTAATATCGAAACTCATCACATTTGAGTATTTAGTTTCTGTATACTTTACAGCGACCAGATACTCAAGTAAGGATATTGCAAGGTAAGCAGATTTGGACTTCTGATTTATATGCAGTTATTTCTTAATACTTTGTTAATTCGAAATTTTCTATATTTATGGTTGGTATGAAGGTAATTTGTGTAAATGAATTTAGGCGAATTAAATGTCAGAATTTAAAAATTTCAATTATTGTAGCAGTTTGTGTAACACCTCGCAATATGGACGTGACAGATCCATAAATATTCAAACTTTATTACGACTATTATGATTTCAATATTCTCTATATGTGTACATAAATATATATGAAACGTAATAACGTAAAATTAGTTCTTTCATGACTGCTGCATGTATATTTATATATGCAAATAAAATAAATTACATACTTAATTTTGTTAATTATCCCAATATCTTTTTAGAAACTATTATATGTATGCAAAATTGAATAAGTAAGTCTTTAAATAAAAATAACTTGTATACTTTATTTTAACATTCATATGGATAATTAATCAAATTGTATTACATCATTTTATTTTTTAAAAAATTCAAAAGATCAATGTTTACAAAAGTTTATGAAAGAAAAGAATGGTGCTTGTATTAATGTAACCATATGTATATATCGTACGTTGCGGTATTGAACGAGTTATTTTTTGTTACACGTAACGTAAATGGTCGGCTCATCGCGTTAACTGGACCAAATCATTCCGGTCTCTTACCTATGATATCGATAGCGGGATTAAAAATAGTGGAAACTTTCAAGAAAATCAATTGCAACTTTAAATAAATTTAAATAAATTTAAATAATTTAGAATAATTTATAAATATTTTATTATATGAAATTATTATATTTTTTTTCTTTAATTATAGAATTTTATCAATAATTAAACAAAATTATATTGTTTTTCAATTTGAGATTCATTGGAAAAAATAAAGAATGATTGATGAATATTGTTTTAATTCATATTCTATTCGTTATTTTATTTTCTTTTTTATTGTATTTGTTATAATTGTTATTTTTTTTATTTTATAAAAAAAATGGTAAAATTATGGAACATTAAGAATTTAAAAATTAATATTTTATTAAATATAAAATGAGAGATGTATGCGATATTTAATGTTTAGAATTGGCGCCAAAAGTATATTGATAATTTTTGATGTATAGCGCGTTTGAAGAAAGCGTTTTATATTATTTTTATATTATTTTTCGTATGCTTAGAATAATATAGGTAAATATATTAACTATCATTATTATTAAACAATTTTTTTCTTTTCATTTTTTGATAATCATTTTTTTCTATCATTTAAAAATTTTTCGAATTTAGTTTCTAAATTTAATAAAATTATTAAAAATACTTGCATTGTAGATTCGGAAGATTTATAGTTATTCGAATTTTTAAAAATCGCCAATTATTAAAAATAAAACAAATTATATATCTAGCTTATGAATTTAAATTCTAATTTAAATTAAAAATTTATTTTTTAAAAACTATAATGAATAAAATTTATCTGTATTTAAAGTTTCAGAAAATTTATAATTATTTGATTTTTTTCATATTAGATAAATAAAATATAAAGGTAAATAAAATTATATATAGCGTAAATTAAAAATTTGAAATTTAAATGAAAAATCTATTTTACAGAAATTGAATCATCGTTATTATTATTAATTAACCAGTGAAAAATGACATAAAATGTGAGATATATTGTTTGGTGAGATGATCGATTAAAAGAGGTCATAGGTGTTTGGAAACGGTAAGGTATAGCGAGTAAAAGTTCCTTATCTTATTTGTGCAATGTCGATGTCAACTATTCTCGCCATTAAGCGCTTGTTCCCCGGAAATTACAATTCTCCTGTAATAACTTCAAATTGTTCCTGATTCGAATCTCTCGTTCGTCAAAAATCAACTTGACAAATCACACCAATACTATAATATTATTCTATTAGGTATAGAACTTGATTCGCTGCTTTTATATTAAACATATATAATTTTAATTCAAGTATAAGATATAAATAGAATAAATGGAATTATAAATGAAATATATTATAATTTGTTTGATTTTTTAAATTATTAATGCTAATAACAAATACTCCATAAAAATATATTTTTTTTTTAAATAAATAATAATTTTATTTTTAGAAAAGCATCGAATTTATTTCTAGATATAATATTTGAACAAATGTCTAATTTCTCTTGATATTTTTAAAAAGTTCATGATTTTTGATTTCTGATAAATTTTTTGACATCATAAAATTATTAATTTATATTTTTAATTAAATCACTTGGTCAAGTGATATTATTAATATGATTATTCTGATCTAACAATATTGAAATAATTTAACTGGATTCAAATTTTTTTTGTTTTTACTGATTATCAGATAAATTAAATTTAAGAATAATTTTTAATTTATACTCTTTATAAACATTGCAAAGAAAACGAATTTACAATGATTATAAAAAATAAATGTCAAATAAAAATCTTTTAAAAATTAATTACTTTAAAATTTACAATTTAAATTTAATTTAAAATTTAGACGAATATATTTATAATAATATTAATAAAATAAGATATCAATAGATATCGTTGTCTCACTCTATCTTTGTCTTCTTTCATAAAATAAATTTAAATTGCTCATAACTATATTGCAGTTTATGCAAAATAAAATTTTTATGAATACGGTAAAAGAAATGGAGCTTACATAGAATGACATATTCTTTAAATATCATAATATATCTTGAATATTTTATATACTTATATTTTTATATTATATTTTGAATATTTTTAATTTTTTATATATCACATGCATTCTGTAGTTCTTTGTATATTTAATTTTTTTTTAAATACATATATAAATCTACTTATAAATAAGCTTCATTTTTATTTTGAATTTATAGAACCGATCTTTTAAAGATCTTTTAAAGTTTCACAAATATTAATATCCCGTATGCTGAAATAATTTAACTAGATATAGTTGATTAAATTAAATGAATATTTCCTCTGGTTCGGTAAATTGAAAAACCACAAGTGTAAGTACATACGTACTACATTTAACAAGCGGTTTGCCTCGTTTCCTAACTCAATGCCTCTTACCATCTACCTAGAACTTAATTATTAGCGGTGCTAAGTTTGGATCGGTTTCTTGTTGTTGATGATAACGACATTGAGCGAACACTACTTTTCCAACAGAGCCGATATAATATTAATAATTTCGTGACAACATTTTCACAGAAAAATTTTGTCTTACTGCGAAACAATAAAGTTCTGAAATTGTTTTTAAATTAATTAAAAAATGAATAAATTATAAAGAATACTAAAAAAAAAAGAATTTTAAAATTTAAAAAATTTAAATATAAATATAATTTATAATTCTGAACATAAACATTATATTGTAATTATGCACAATTAATTAACACTTTTTTGAAAAATTCATTTTAGAATTGTAAAAATTTCAATCGAAGTTTCAAATTATTTTTTAAACAATATTATTCTCAAATCGTAATCAAAAATAATTATTTTATATATTTTTTGACTTGTTTTAAAATTATTTTTTATGTAAGAAAAACTTCGTATTGATCTTTGGATTATACATCATTAAATATCATTAATTTTTTTCATTTACTTTTTTATTAAAATTGGGAGATGAAATAGGATAAAATGGATTATTATTATAAAATAGTTATGTGCAATCAATATATTGCATTAATAATTATAATTTCATGATACCTTAGAACTTGTAAAATAATGATTTTAAAATTTTAAGTAATTATGAATTTCGACTATCTTCTTACATAAAATGTAATAAAACGATAATATTTATAAATTAAAATTTTTTTTATTTTTTTATATGTTAATATGTATTAATGTCAAACTCAAATTTAACGTCTTACTAATTCTATATATATTTTGAAAAAAATAACATATTTCATATGCTTGATTTAATAAATTAATAAATTCTTATTTATAATAAAATAAGGCAAATCCTTAAGCTCTATTTTTTCAGTCTTTTCATAAAGATTTAATTTTACATAAAAATCCGCAATATAATTATTAATTATTAAAAAATTGTTCTCTTTGATATCCAAATCCATGATTTTAACGTTAATAATAACGTTTAAAATATTTTTTACTTTTTAATCTATTATATAACAATAAAAATATCTTCTTCAATATTCCATTTCATCCTACTTCTAAAAACATCGCTCATGACGTATCGTATAACGTTATACAGCACCGTAAAACGAATACGACTCGAAATTCCACAATGAAATAATTTTATTCCATTCAACTTTAAAGTCAATTCGATTCGCGAGTTTACTCTTCGTATGAAGCTTTTCGAATCAAAGTTACGATTAATCCTCCTGAATGGGATTACTTAGCAAAGATAAAGAATCTTTTAGCGAGAGACACTTCCTTTGTGCATTTGTACTCCATACTATTTCAAATTTTCTGTACGACATTATGACGTCCACTTTACTATTTAATCAAGCATAAAAAATTTTCTTTCTTAATTACCTTACGAATCAATCGAGAGATGAAGAAATATTAATTCAATTTCGTTCATATATATTTCGTCAATATATATTCAATTCCATATTAATTAATAAAAAATTGTAAAAAGATAACAATATTCAAAATTATCAAATTTATATTTTCTAATTGTTGATAGAATAATATAATTAATAAAATTATTAATTAAAAATTATATAACATCTCAATGAAGTATTAGAAATATGATATCTCAGAGATGTTATTACAAGAGAAAAGATTAAGGAGTGCAGTAGAATCTCCAATATTTGAATATTTTAATATTCAAACATTTTATTAATCTCATTTTCTTTTCTGAAAATGTAAAATAATTCATCTAAAAAAAATCTGTTTCTTTATTCGAAAGATGTCTTTCTGTTAGTATAAGAGAAGTTTTATTGTATTCTTTCAAAGAGCAATGGAAGAAAACGAGGAAAAAATTTTTTCAAACATTTTTGATTTATGAAATACATCGACAAATTTCATTATGTACAATGGAATTCGATAATTGAATTGAATATAATAATAAGACGTCTTTGAGGATTTTTGATCATTGTTTACATGAAGATTAATTATTTGCATTTACATAATTGTAAGAAAATAAAAAAATTTTCTATAATTATGTAAATTGTTGAAATTTGAAGTACTGCAAATTAATAAAAGAATTATTATTTTCATTCGTCTTTTTTCGTAAATTTTTGTTCTTATAATTAATAGAAATTTAATTTTTATTTTCAATATATATCTCAAAAATATATCTCAAAAAAATATAGTAATTTCAAAAAATTTGTTATTGTTCGTTCGATTAAAAATTTCTTGTCATAATATTATACGTTTTTGACATATACACATTTCTTATTGTAAAA